GACCCCCCCCCCCCAGGCTGGCTTCCAGCAGGTGGCAGTGGATGGTGAGAGCCTGGAGCAGGTGACCCACCAGCGGGCCGTAGACACCATCCGCCAGGCATACCGGAACAAGGCTCGGGAGCCCATGGAGCTTGTGGTCAGGGTCCCTGGGCCCAGCCTACCCTCCTCGTCCCCCGACTCAGACCTCGCTGACCGGCCTCTTCCTGCTGCTCCTTCCCCTGCCCATGCCCTCCCTGTGACTCCAGTTCCCTCCCATGGGCTCCCAGGACCTCCTGCCCAGGCCCAGGCCCTTCCCCAGCCCCAGCCCCTCCAACCCTCCAGGCTCCCAGTACTGGCCCCAGGCCCCCCGTGACCCTTCCCCCTAACCTCAGATCCCCGGAGACCCCTGAATCCTCCCTCTCCTGGGCCTGGCCTGTTAACCTCCTTGGGGCTCGGGAACCTGCCCCTGCTGCCCGCCCTGCCACCAGTTCTATGCACCGTCCCTTATCTTCCCACTTCACTCCCAGATAAACGCAGCGTCCACACACAAGGTGCTGGTGGGCAGCCCACTGTCCCCTGCCCTGTCTCCACCATCCCGAGACAGGAAGTGGGTTGAGAACCCAGTTTGAAGCCTGGGCAGTTTCTCTGATGCCCACTCCTTGACTCTCCAAAGCTCTGAGGAACATGATGCTCAGGGGGGTCCCGAGGTGTCGGTGTGCCTGCCCCGCAGCCCCTATGCAAGGACAGGACAGGAAGCTTTCCTAGTCCCTCCAGCGCTGTGGCAGCTCGTGCGGTGGCCCGCGAGGACCTCAGCCGCTATGGGGCTTGATCTCCTATCATCTTTCCCCTAAAATCTGAGGGGTGGAGGGTCGGCTCACAGAGAGGGATGGGGTGAGACGAGTTCCCCAAATTGGTATCCAACACCGTTGTGCTTTTTTAAAAACAAATTTTAATTTTTTCTTTGGGTTTGTACAAGAAATTTACAGTGTGAAAAATATACAAGTGAAAATGAGGCCAAAAACCTGGGTGAAGGAGGGGCTGCTTGGTCACAAACATACATAAACAAGACATTTCTGAGTTCTTCCTTTGGTCTGACTTCAGCCCCCTCACTCGGGGAGAGGGGCTGCAGAGCTGGCACCTGGGGTTCGGCCCGGTCCCAGCCCTGTCCCCCAGTGCGGGCAGCACGGGGCAGGCACGTCTGGAGCAGCTGGTGCTGTCTGGCTCTCTCTGGCTTCGGGGTGGGAGACAACGTGGTCAGGAGCCCCTCCTCCTTCCCAGCTCCCCTGGCTGGAGTGGGCTGGCACGTCTCGGGGGCAAACAGGCTTGGCAGAGTGACACTGGCAGCAGTCGGGAGTGACGTGGTGGTGAGTAGGAGCCTCTGGGTGACAGTGAACATGAGGGCCTGCGAGGGCCTGGTTTTGCTCCTCCAAGTCATGGGGCCACCCCTGGCAGAGGCCCTGAGGCCTGGATCTCAGGGCACAAGTGGCTTTAGGACCAGACTCTGAGGCCTCCCATGGATCTGGAGCCGTGTGGCCGTCAGCAGTGCTCCCTCCAGGGCTGGCGCCCTAGATCTCGGTGGCTGTGATCTCCTCCAGGCAGATGCAGGGCGCCTGCTCAGCCAGGCCCAGGTCGGCCAGCTCCCGGGCCTCCAGCTCCAGGCTGAGCTGCTGCAGCTCCTGCTCCAGCTGCCGGCTACGCCGGCACATCTGGATATAGCTGTGCTGCAGCTGCTTCTGGTAGTGGATCACCTTCTCCTTCTCTGCCTGCCAGGCCAGCCGCTCTCCCTCGAAGCTGGCCCGCTGCTCCTCGCCGCGCCGCCGCTCCCGCTGCAGCTCCACACGCAGCCGCTCCACCTGGGCCCGCAGGCTGCCCCCCACTCCGGCAGCAGCCCGCTGCACCTTGGCCTCGTCACTCTCTGCCAGGAGGAATGGGTCAGCGGTGGCCGGACCCACAGGGGCCTCCCGGAGCCCGGCTGCCTCAGTGTCCAACTGCCCAGCTTTCTCCCGCAGCCGCTCAGCCTCCTGGCGGTGCCGCTGCAGCTCCTGGGAACAGGCCTCCAGCTCCAGCTCCCGCGCCCGGGCTGCCTCCTGCAGGCCCCGCGCCCGGCCCTCACTGACCCGCAGTGTGGCCCGGGCCTCACGCAGTGCCACCCTCAAGGCCACCAGCTCGCTGCCCTTCTGCACCAGCTCCGCCTGAGACTCCTTCAGCTGCTGCTTCAGCAGAGAGATCTCGCCTGACTTCTGGCACACCTGGGTAGAAGGCGGTGGGGAACGGTGGTGAGAAGAGTCCTCTTGGGGGGCTTGGGGCCTGCACATCATACTGGGCATTGCATTGGGGGAGGTTTCATTGTTACCCCACTTTACAGATGGAGACTCTAAGGCCAGTCTTGTGACAAGGTCATACAGCTAGGAAGTGACTAAAGGAGGATGCAGACCCAGTCTCCTTCACAGCACCAGGAGACAGGGCCAGCAGATGGTGTAGCAGTTACCTCGCTGACTCACACACGGCTGACCATGGTTCAAGTCCTGGACCTGGTGGTTTGAAACTCATGCTGGGCGTGCGTGCCTGTGTGCCCAAGATCCTGGGAGAAGGTACTGCCGAGTGGCCGTCCATCCCGGGGGGTGATTTGTCACTTTCCCTCTCACTGTCTCTGCCTGTCTCTCTCTGGTGAATACACACACCCGGAGGCAAAAAGCTCTTAAAGACCAAATAAGACCTAGAGACACCAGGGCCTGGGTGGTGGCTGGTGCTGTGGCTGTGGGGGCAGCCGCGGTGTGCCCACGCCTCCAGTGCAGAGGCGTGAGTGTCTCAGTTAAGAGCATACGTATGAGCCAGGATGCTCGGGCCACATTTCAGCTCAGCCACTGCTAGATATGATGTGGGACTTCAGCCTTTCTGGGCCTCAGCTTACACATCCATAAGTGGGGGTAGCACACTCACCCCGTGTGCTTTGAGCTGCCAGGTGTGGGGCCTGAATCATGAAGTCAGCCACGTGGGGACCCACCTGCCTCAACTCAGCCACTGCCATCCATCGGCGCCTAGCAGGCCCTACATCCTCTGGCTGCTGGAAGGCAGTGAGGTGCCAGAGCCATGGGCGAGTGGACACTAGCCTAGACGCTGTGCAGCCCTAACACACAGGAACGAGAGACTCCCCAGGAAGGAACCAGAGGGAGGTCCTCATCTCACAGCGAGGAGCAAGCGAGGGTCATCTGGGGGTGGCAAGCTGAGGGGCTGTCCCCTCTCCCCCGACCCACCTCCCACTTGGTCTCCTCTAGCCGTGGTCCGAGCTCCCGCTGCTCCCGCTCGAAGGTGGCGCATCGCCGCTCCAGCTGCTCCCGCTCCTGCAGCAGCTGCGCAAAGTCGTCCTGCAGCTGCCGCTTCTCCTGCTGCAGCTGGAACACCTGCAGCTGCAGGAGCTGCTGGGCCCGCTGCGCCCGCTGCGCTGCCGGCTGCGCCTGCGCCGCGCCGTCCTCTCGCGAAGCCTCGCGCTCTCGTGGCCAGTGCCACTGGCGCTCCTCGAACGCCTGTGGGCGGGAAGGCAGACCCGGGTCTTGGGTGGTTCCCCGGAACTTGGCCCTGGCCACCTCCATCTCTCAAGTCCCTGACTGCCCTGGGCTCAAGGAGAGCAGATCCAACAGTAACTATTTTTAGGAAAATAACAGACAATAGTACAGACATTCCTTGACTTACACGCTTCTGCCCTGGTAATTCTAGTGTAAAAAATCCGTAAGTCAGCAAGGCGTCATAAATAAAACGCCGGTAAATTCTAAGTCCCTCAGCTGACAGTGGGGCTGTGGTCTCTACCAAACCACCATCACTTTCCCTCCCCCGGCGAAATCCCAGGGCACGTCCTCAAGGCAACCTAAGACTTCCTACCCTTTGCCTTACTTAGTCCTCACAATAACCCTGCAGAGCCAGAAATACCATTTCTAGGTGAAGAAACCGGGCCCTGGGAGGTTAAATACCATGCTCCAGTCCACCCAACAGTAAAGGGGAACCCACACACCTCGACTCCACCGCTCCACAGGATGAGCCTGGGAATGGAGGTCCCACCGGAGCTGCCCACCCCCGCTCTCCCCAGCCTGGAAATGCTCCTCGGACTCCCAGGGCGGGGGTGGGGGGACCTTGCCGCACCATTCCCGGCCGCGCTGACCGCACCTGACATACGGACGCCTCGTTCTCATCCAGGCTGTCCCGCAGCTGCTGAAGCTCGGCCTGGCGGTCTCGCAGCTTTCCTTCCAGGACACACTGCAGCAGGGCCTCGTCCGAAGGAGGTGGAGGGGGTAGGGGCGGAGGGGAGCGTTCCCCACAGGAGCTGCTGTCAGGGGAGGCTCGGGGACCACTGCCCAAGAGCCCCCCGGCTACACGGCCCCCCAAGGAGCCCGTGCTCTTGCTGGAGGAGGAGCGGCCACTGTCGGAGTGGGAGGGCCCAGTGGGAGCCCCTCGGGCTGGCCCAGGCAACGCCCCCCGACCAGGGCCATGGGAGGACAGATGCCCGCCAGGGGAGCTGGTGGCCGGCTCAGCACCCCCGGTGCTGTAGGTGGGCAGGCTGGACAGTGAGTTCCGGCCAGAGTCGGAGAGTGTCCCTGAGGGGCAGCCGCTGGCCCAGCCACTCAGTGCCAAGGGTTTATCAGCAGCCGAGGAGGAGGGGGGGGAAGAGGAGG